CTTGGGAACACTAGGTTATTGCTAATTGTTAATGGTGCTGTAAATTTTTAAGATGTTAAAGAAAGTTTAGAACAATGTCAGTCGGCACTCCCAAAATCTGATTTACTTTCTGCTTTGGTTCAGTTTCAGGATGTTTAAAAAAACCTCTAAAACCATTGGTAGAAGGTGCCTAACATTGTGACCAGGTAGTAGATAATGTTTTCACCCCTCAGCTCACAGAGAGCCGAGAATTCACAGCGTCATCTGCTTTATGACAAATTATACAGTTGGGAAAGGGCTCATAGTTAAGTGAGAGCAATATGTCACCTGGTAGGCAACCCAGTCTCCCTCATGGATGAGGCAGGGATTCTGGAGGAATGGCAGAAGCATTTATTATCCCTCAACTATAGACATGGAGTCTAGAAATGTTAAATCACATCTAATCCATCAGAGGGGCCAGTGCAGGAGAGTTCCCTTTTCTGATTTCAAATCCATCAAGCAGTGGGGCTTCCAAAACTTCCACTGGGAGATTATTGTATAGCACTTAAGTATGTATCCATAGAGAAGACCTTTTATAAGGTTACCCCAGCTATTGAAGAAGCTGTCAGTGGTATTGATACATACTCATATATCCCCCTCCTTCCATTCTAAAATGCACCTTGCTCTAATCTGCATACTCCTGAACTGTTAAGAGGACTCTATTTCTAGGCATGTCTACTTTGCAATCTGCTTGTCCTGACCAGACCTCCCGTCTAGCAAGGGGCTTCCTTTTACACAGTACTGACCTCTGCCAATCTCTGCCCTGGTGAACACATGCTGTCCAACCCCTGCACATTCAAACATATGATCAGAAACTCTTATCAAGGCATCACATCTTGCTTGTGCAAGTCTTATGTGCCAGTGGATGAACAGAAGAACCTCTGCTGGCTGGAGCCTGCAGAGCTGCCCATGTAGCAGAGAGGCTGATTACTCATCGGGGTAGCTGGAAACATGACTTGCGACCCACCCAGGATTTATCCCTGAAAATATAGAGGAATCCTAAACAGTCTGGGGATGTACACAAGATTTCCCTGCTTCCTTGGCCAGTGCCCTCCTAAATTTGCTGCTAGGGAGAAGCATTAAGCCATGGAATAGGTTCAGGGTACTTGGGGAAACCCCGCTGTGACGGTCCACGCCCCTACAGTTGCGAGCGGCGTGGACTATCCGCCACCATCCGTCAAATAGCCCTTCAGTCCAGGGCAGTATGGCCTAGCAGCCAGTGTCTATGACGTCCCCTTTACCTCAAGGGGACGTGGCCTGACGGCAGGAGTCTGTAACACAGCCCTCGGTTACCGGGCAGTAGGACCTATCGGCCAGAGTCCCAGAAGCAACCCTTGGGTGGACGGTAGCGTGGCCTAGCGGCCAGAGGCCATGTCATTGGGGTGTGACTGCCCCAGTAGGGGGACCCCGACCCGGGGCCCTAACAGTAGCGTAGTGCTTTTCCACCAACTCAGCAGGGGGATCCGACCAAAACACGCTGAGTTTCTCCCGGGGGGGGGGAGGTACCACTCTGTCACCCTCCCAGGGTCCCTTCCTACCAGGCTCTCCATTGGGGTCTCCCAGGAGTCGTTGGGTCCTTGGTACTCGGCGAATTCGGTCGTCCCCTGGGTCTCCTCCAACTGCCGGGCTGTGGACGGTGCCTCTTCCCGGTGCAGCCAACGGCTGTGGCTGGTCCGCCGCAGGAGCTTCCCTGGCAGGTCCTTCTCCTACAGGCTCCAACCCAGAATGAGCTGGTCTCCCTCCCTTTATACTCCTATAGCACTTGGAGCATGCTCAGTCCGCCCAGGGAGGCGGGACTTCCGCTACCAGTCCCTGGGGCTTAACTCCTTCCGGGTTAAGGTGGGGTAGCCTGGCCCCACCACACCCACCATAAGGCTTTTTAGCAGGAAAGTGGTCAGCACTGGAAAGCATCCCGTATAGAACAATCCTGCACTGTCCTTGATGAAATTAAAAAAAGCCCATTAGCTCACGCAGTTCAGCTCCAATGTCTATGCTTCAGTTGACAAACAAGAATGGTAGCAGTTCAGGAGAGAAAGGGTTTGCACTATCATGGAAAGACACCAGTGATCGTAAATTTAGAGTCACACAGGCTTGTAGTGTGCAATTCCTGTTAAAGCCAAGAGGTATTAGGTGACTAAAACCATGCAAAATTTTGGAAATTTGGGGGAGGGAGGGAGAAAAGGAAAGTGAAAGGAAGATTAGAGAGTTTAGATGCACAAAAATCAGGAACTTTCCCAACTTCATTACTAAGCAAGTGTAACAGGCCCATACACAAAGCCTCCAGCTTGAGGAGGAAAATTGACATGGCTACATGAACAGAAGACATTTCAGCCCAGAGGATAAAGGACTTCTCTGCCTTCCCCATCCTTTCCCTCACCCCCAAAAAACAAAGTTATAAGCACCTGAAAATGAATATGCTTCTGTCACCATAATAAAAAGTTTATGACTACCATGAAGGACACCACATAACATTATAATGTTGGCCTCTGAGTCCACACTTTAATTGCTTGATTAAAATTCAGCATCCTTCTTAGCAGAAGTTATTTCTCTTACCCCTTATAAAATAGAATTATTGATGCCTAGGCTATCCCTCTCATAAAGTAAGTTAAGGTCACTCTGTTAGTGTGCTGGACACTTTAGGTCAGTATTAAGACCAAGTCTCTGTCCTGCGGAACTCATAAGTCAAAAGAGATAGCACAGCCAAAGACTGGTATGACAAACCGCAGTAGTATTATGAGTGAACAGAGATATCTGCTTCTTAATTTGAGTTTTACCTTAGTTTTGTATTTTGTTCATCTGATAAACCTCTGCTGAAGGCAGAGCTAAGGCTCTCAAATCTTTCAGGAGCAGAGAGCTTTAAAGGAGAGACTTGAAAGAAAAGGTGAAGGCATGACGGACTGGGTTAGGGAGGGGTTTCCAGGCACCTGGGGCCACATGGAACAAGGCCTGGAGACAAGAGTGGGAGGAGGACATGAAGGGGGTGGTTAGTCATGCAGCTTGGGTGGAGCAGACAGGGTGAGGGGGTGAAGCAAAAGGAGAAACATTTCTAGTGAAGAGACACCCATTAGGCTACAGCATGGCTGATAATCAGCACTGAAAACCGGCTGCAATTTAGTGTTGCAGCTGGTTTGTCAGCTACTGCAAGAAGATACGTGAGAACGTGTGGTGTGTTCAGGCATGTGATTAAATACAGCTCCACTTTAATGACAGGCTGTAGCGGCAATTCCTAAATTCATACTCTACCTAAGAGGAATTCACAAAAGCCCCAGTGCTCTTATAGACTGTATGAAAACCAAGCACAGGAATACTGCTGAGATGATGTATTCCAGTAGATCTCAAACTAGCGGGGAAACAGGCTCACCTGGGTGGGTCCAGAGCAGACAACAATAGGACTGGAAAAAGAGGCAAGTGGTTACCTGAAAGCCACTTATCTTTCCTCTGGGCTTCCACAGCAACCCTCACTGCAGAGGGCTCTAAGGACAGCACAAGCCCAGCGACCCACATTTCTCTTCACTGCTCCACTGGTACTCAGTGATCCTGCAAGTACATATGCGACTAGCCTGATGATGGCACCAACAGCTCTGAACAGGTTAGAGGAGATTGTGGTAAAATCACTATGCCACCAGAGCTACAGCAATGGTGGGGATTTTTAAGAGAGCTTCATGCAGGTTTCAGAGTAGCAGCCATGTTAGTCTGTATCCGCAAAAAGAACAGGAGTACTTGTGGCATCTTAGAGACTAACAAATTTATTAGAGCATAAGCTTTTGTGGACTACAGCCCATTTCTGTATCCGAAG